ACCTCCCAAGGGAGAGATGCCACCAACTCATGGTCACCACCCTGCTCACCCTCCGATGGAGCATGGCGAAGACTTGCACAAGCCACCGAGGAAGGTGATGCCTCCTGCTCCAACTCCGTCAGAGAAGCCACATGGACGGGGACACAGACACGGATACGGACAAGGACACGGACACGGTCCCCACCAGCCAATCCACAAACTTGCACCATCTCCTCATTCCATCTGAGTGATCACTTCCTGTAGTACTTTACTATACATGGTTATATAGAGATATATTAAATAAGAGCCCATTGTCATTTGATCTTATTCTTGTTTTTTGGGTCAATGTTGTATGGTCAGTTAGTACTAGCAGGAGAGCTCATGTTATTTATTAGTTGCATTGTAGTGTTTGTACCCTGTACTAGCTAGCTGATGATATGCATCTGTGGAGATGGTTATGTCGTACCACTTTCATCTTTGATATTACATTTTTTTTTTTTTTATATGAAAATATTGTCTTGTCCACTCTACATGCTTTTAAAATATTGAAGCTCCAAACAGCCTCATAAAAAATTAAATAAAACAAAAAATTGTTGATATGATGAGTGAGTTTGTTATTATGGGACTAAAAATGAACAAAAAGGGTACACCACAACTGTCAGTAGGAATATCATGCATGACTTTTTCAACTTGAGAAAATTAACAAGAAATGAACATTGTGAGTTTGTTGGTTGGCATGAAGAATACAAAAAATGCAGTTAAAAATGTCATGTATATGGTGTTGGTAGATTTTTTTGAGGTCAACCATATACAGATACAATGGTGGAATCAGAAAATTAATTTTCAAGGATATTTATTAGCTATTAGTTATAATTTTGAATTTTTTTTTTAATAATCAGCAACAAAATAATAATAATTTTTTGAATTAATATTGAGTATGAAACTTAAATATTCATTATAATTTCTTTTAATATAAACTTTTACAAATGACCTTGAGAAAGATTGAAATGATGTTGTTACTTGTAACTAATGTATTATGTACAATGTTTAAACAAGTTAGTCCCAAAAAGATAGTAATTCATCACAAAATTCTTATTTCGTCGCTAAAAATATAACAACAACACTTTTAGTAACTAAAATATTTCATTCTTAAAATATGATTTTGTTCCTAAATTTTTTTCTCTACAATCTTAATTTGTTCTAGTGATTGAATACCACAAATGACTCCAAAAAATTTGTCAGAAATTTTATACAATATTCATATGGTTTGGATTTCACACCCATTTGAATATTATGTAAAATTTTAATAAATTTTTTTTTATAGTCCCATACAGAAATTTTTTTGCAGTCCCAATACTGACCCCCAAATAACTTCTCAACCTCCACCAAATAATACTGTTCAACAATTTTAGTGAAATGACATGATTACCATAAGATACATGATTACCAGAAGTCCATTAGCTAGCTTTGTTTGTTTGTTATTTATTTATTTATTTATTTATGGTTGCTGGTGTAGAATATAACCTTCTCTATTCCTTGCATGATGCACTCTACTGTTCCATCACTACTAAAAGTTATTGTAGAAACTAAAATTTAGGAATAAAATTATTTTTTAGGGATCAAATATTTTTGTTACAAAAAGTGTCATTATGATATTTTTAGCAACGAAAATTGGACATTAGTGATGAATTATTATCTTTTTTGGACTAAATTTTTTGTCTCAAAAAATAAAATATTTTGAGACCAAATTATTTTGTCCCTAAAAGTCTATTTATTAGTGACATTTTCAAAATTTTGTCGCTAAAAGTCTTGTTTTTGACTTTTTTAGGACGACTTTTTAGCGATTATCCTCACAACGATAGAAATTGGTCCTTAAATATTTTTTACAATAAAATTTTTACTTTTAGAAACCAAAACATTTATCTCTAAACCTCTTATGTATTGTAGAGCATCACCAAATTTATTATTTAGCCTTTGAAAACATTAATATCAAACTGGTTTAAATCTCATGCTATAAATGATAAATAGGACCACAACAGAGGATGCGATGAGTCAAAAGAAACCAAACTTTGACTAATTTTCTTTTAGTTATTTGGAGTTAAGTAGCAGGGGCAATGGCCAATTGTCGTTCGTAAACTATGCAACTAGTATTGTAATTGATAGGGTAAATGCTACATATCATGAAGTAAATATCATGAAAAATTTCATGAAACTAATCTAATGGTGAATGCATAACATACAACAAAACACTACAAACACTATAGTCTAATCAATGGTGGAGAATCTTCATGAAGACTTTTCATGACATTATTTTCATGATACCTAGCATTATTGATCTTTCTATCACGATCTATTGAGATTTAATTCTATCGAATAGAGTAATGTTATAAAAACAAAAGATTTATATATAATTTTCATATATAATGATGTGACTCATTATGAATATTTCATTTCAAAACAAAATGGTATTGAATATGAATTTATTTATAATAATAATATTGCTACACATATTAATGGTAAAACCTTATCCTAATAACATTGAGGTTATGGGTTCAAGTCACAGGACAATCACTTTGTGCACTATGTCAAAGGTTAAGTGTGTATCCAATATTTATACGCCCAAACACACATTAATGTGTATTAATTGAGCGTTGTTTTTATATTGCTACATCATTCCTGGGGAATTTTACATATGCATAAAGTTTTCTATACAGAATTCCCAAAATGTCAAAAAGCCAAGAGAACCAAAATCATTGCCAAACACTTGTTATGAAGAGGTTATTGTGTGCACGTATATACATATATATATGCGTGATAACAATGAAATTGCTCAAACTTCCATTATTTTTCTCTGGTATGACTATAGCTCTACATGTCACCATCGTCAATGGAAAAAGAGAAAATGTCAATGTGGATGCTAGGGCAATGTCAATCCATGACTAGCTACCATGATAAAATATGTACATATCTATTTTCAAAAGCAGAGGATCTGAAATTCAACTCCAGCAGACGTAGAGACAACAACAACAACAACAATTCTATAAATGCACTGTTTGAAATGCAATCGAACTGATGATCTTTTTCTACATCTTCTCGCAATTACGCAGCAATCAGTGGCCATTCCCAGGACCAAATTTAGTTTTGCTGCCAAACCTTGATAAAGTCCATGCGTGTTACGTGCATGCTGCAACCAAAACGTTATTATCAGATGAAATCTTACTCAAACCTCATATAAATGAAGAAGCTGAGGCTATCGCCAAAAAAAATAAGGGGCCAAAGTAACAATTTGACTAGCAAATGTTGGGCAATTGTCAAAATGCTCAACTCAGTTGGACCTTAATGAAGCCTATATCAAATTGGTTTCTCAACGAAACATCCTAATTTCACACTGAAGCTCCTTTATTCAAAAGCAAACTGCAAAGTGTAATGTTATACGAATAAATAAACTATATCTATATAATTTTTATATAGAATGATGTGAGGGAATTAGATCGTTTCATTAAAAAACAAAACACCTATCAAATGACTCTTAATCGCAAAAAAATGTCATCACCACATTATTATAGTGGGATTTTTCTATATAATTTTTTCTTAAGATTAGAATTTTCCAAATGGAATTTGTGATGACATGTGTCACGGTAAAAAGCAATATAAAAGGCCACCCCAGTTCACCTAGTATCCCACTATGAAAATGTCTCCCAATCCAAGTGCTTGTTTGCATATCACCACGAGGCTTATTTGGTTACAAAGATAAGTTATATAAGGGTAAAATGGGTTATTCAATGCAAAAAATGGTCAAACTGTCCACAAGATTAACCGTTGACTAACAAAATGGGAGAAACTGTTAGGCAACTATAAATGTCAAGGGAAGCCAGAGTAATTTTGTCAAACTAATATCTCCAATTATCAAGGAAGGTCCATGTAAGTTACCCCCTTATTAATATTTATTTTCGACATATTTTATTGGGCGGGGTTAGAAATTTAACATCGTTTTAGCACTGGGTTGAACTTGGGCCCGAGATATATATATTTCCTAACCTAGGCCGGCCGGTCCGTTCAATGCCCACCCTTCGTAGTGTATAGTTGTACTCAACCACTAAACCACAAATTTCACCAGCAATCCCCAATAATGGGCACTATGGTGATTTAGGGAGGCGAAAGGACAATAAGAGATGCATAAAAATGTTACACCACAACAAAAAGATTTTCAAGGAGCATATGAACTAAAATTCTTACTCCACTTTAGTGAACTAGCTATAGAAATTTATATTACATGCAACCATTGATAAAGTAGTTTGATACTATAATGTTAAAGGGCAGTCTCTAGAGATTGAATGACTTCACACAACATCCTTGTACATCAGAGCTCCAAATGCAAGGAGGCAACCTGGCTTGTATGCATATGCAAATGAGTAAAGAGGCATGTAAAAGAAAATCATTTCATACAAAATTAAAAATCATCCTAATATGCTTTCTTAAGTAAAATTTCTAATTTGAGACAGATCAATCAAATCTCACTTTGAATCCAATTTGTTATTACAAGATCCATGGTCCAATAGTCTCAGTCCACTAATTGCTATAACAGTAAAACGAATTGAAGGAAAATGGTGGATGGTAGTCCTCAGTGGTGGTGGCTTCAGAGTCAAGGAGGAGTGTTGACTGGCATGACCCATGAAGCTGAATTAGTTTTATTTGTTGCTATTCTTTAAGATTGTTGAATCAGTTTAGTATTATGACCATTTCTTCATGTTATTTTTTAGGCATTTAGCTGTTATGCTCAACATGTAGTAGATTTTTCTGCAATTCAGTTTTCATTATGCTGTATAAATAGACTGCTTGTTGCTCAATGAAAAAAAAATTGCCTTATGTAGTCTCAAAATTAGCTTCTCTCATTATCCTTAGTCTTTGGTTTCCTAAATATCCATCAAACTGGTATTAGAGCTGCAATCTTGAGGGACCTATGAGAGCTCAAACACAATTTCTAGACATTTATCACCTATCACTCCAAAAACCTATCCAGAATGAATTCAGAAAATTCATTCACTACAATTGCACCTCCAATGTTTGATGGAACAAATTATCCAGTGTGGGCTGTTAGAATGGAAACCTATCTTGATACTAATGATCTATGGGAAGCTGTTGAACAAGTATATGAAGTTCCACCTCTGCCAGACAATCCAACTCTTGCACAAATCAAAAATCAAAAAAGGAGGAAGCAAAGAAAAGCAAAAGCAAGAGCAACCTTGTTTGCAGCAGTCTCATCTATCATTTTTATTAGAATAATGACGCTAAAAACAGCCAAGGAAATTTGGGATTTTTTGAAGCAAGAATACAAAGGAAATGAAAGGATCAAAGGGATTCAAGTGCTGAATTTGATCCGAGAATTTGAGATTCAAAAGATGAAAGAATCAGAAACAATCAAGGAATATTTTGACAGATTTCTTGGCATTGTCAACAAGGTAAGACTCCTTGGTACTGATTTTTCTGATTCTAGAATTGTTCAAAAGGTCCTAGTCACAATTCCTAAAAAGTTTGAAGCTACAATTTCATTTTTGGAAAACTCAAAAGATTTGTAAACAGCATTGTGACATAGCGTAATTGAAAAAAAAAAAAATACATTATTCAAACGGCACCACAAGAAAGATGCACTGTTGAGAACAAAATTTAAAGCAAAAAAAAAAAAAAAACGGGGGAAAAAAAAAAAAAAAAAAAAAAAAAAAAAAAAAAAAAAATAGGCAGAACAAAAACAACAAGCTTAGAAACACAACAACACTCAAGTCTTTCCACCTTGCCCCTACTTCAAAAAAGCCAATCATCCACAAAATAAGTGTTAGTGGAGGCCAAATGCAAGATGTCACAAGTGTGGTTAGTTAGGGCACATGGAAAGAATATGCAAGAATCAACAGCAACAAGGAGAAGCAAAGGCTATTGAGGATCAACCTCAAGAGGAGTAGTTGTTCGCGGTATCATGCTTTGCCACCAACAACTGCACAGAAAGCTGGCTTATAGATAGTGGTTGTACAAACCACATGATTTATGATCGAGAGCTCTTCAGAGAGTTTGACAAGACTACTATTTCTAAAGTCAGAATTGGAAATGGAGCACACATTGCAGTAAAAGGCAAAGGAACAATAGCAATTGAAGGCCATACAGGTCTGAAATTAATTTATGATATTTTATATGTACCTGAAATTGATCAAAACCTTTTGAGTGTTATTCAGTTGTTGGAAAAAGGCTATAAGGTGTTGTTTGAAGACAAAAAAAAAAAATATGTGATTAAAGATACAAAAGGTATAGAGGTGTTCAAAGTTCAAATGAAACGCAAAAACTTTGCCTTAGATTTGATAAAAGACGACCAGGCTACTGTATATACAAAAGATAGCAATACAGTGCTTCGGCACAAGAGATTGGGGCATTTCCATCATGCCGCTCTACTTTTCACGAAGAAGAACAATTGATCAAGGCCGAATTGTGCAACATTGAGGCTGTTAATTAGGATCTCTTAACTTTACTTGCTTGTCAAACTATATATTTTATGTCTGTTTCATGTAAATCAGGTTGGACATAGTCGGAGTATAAAATGGGCAAAAATACAAAATTTAGAGAGAAAACAGCTTCCCGTACATGCGTTGACTTTTCTTGGAAAACAAGCCTGATGTTTTAAACCTATTTGAAAGATAACAGAAGTATAAATAGGCAAGAAAGAGGCTAGATTAGGGTTCTGAAATTAATTCCAAGAGAGGCTAGGTTTGGAGGAAAGAAGGATTCTTAAGCTTTGAAGACAACTTTCATTGGGGTTTCCATCTCTTCTATCTCTTCCACCTCTTCCCACTCCTCCATGAGTGGCTAGGTTAGAATGGAGCACTAATGAAGATAATGGAGCAAATGGAGCACTAATGGAGCTAGTGGAAGACAAATTATGTCATATTAGTCTAATAAATAACGGCAGTTAAGTTTGATGGACCGAAAATCAATGATGTTTCAATTTGATCCTTATAGTTTACAGGATGTATCAATTTGGTTCATGTAGTTTATAGGAAAGTCAAAACAATAGGAACCAAATTAACACATCATTTGATCTTCCATCTATATCAAACTTAACCACTATTATTTATTAGATTAATATGACACAATCCGTAAAATTAAGGGACAAAATTAAGCAAATTGAAATAATATGGACCAAAATGGCAAAAAAAAAAAAAAAAAAAAAATAAAAAAAATCAAAGCAAATACTCGCAAGCATAGCACCAAAGTGTTTAAACTCGAGAGCTCAATTAGAGGTTGGGGACAACGTCTACAAGTCAAGCACCCAGAAGACGAGTAAAGTGTTTTCGTTAAACCACTGTGAGTATTTTCTTCTTTGGTATTTTGCTTTCATAACTTAGTGCATTAGAGTTGGAACTTAGTTAGTGTGTGTGTGTGTGTGAGAGAGTAGTGTATACACGGGCGCTGTTCTTGTCGCCTTGAATTGTGGAGTTTGGACCTTGAATTAGAAAGGACTCTTAGGAAACTTAGAGCCTATGCTCGTATTCCTAGGCTTGAATACCCTTATCCTTACTTCGAACCAATAAAGATGAAAAACCTGAATGGCCTAAATGGGCCCAACCAGACCCTTAAGGGTTACCTCACACCCACTACATATACATCACCATCATGCATCCAGTTACCCAACACCACTGCTGCTCATTATGAGATTAAGTCTAGCACCATCCAAATGCTTACATCATTCCATGGACTAGCTCATGATGACCCCTACAAACATCTAAATGAATTTCTGGAAATTTTCTCTACATTGAGGATCCAGAGTTTCACCAATGAGGCCCTAATGTTGCGTTTGTTCCCATTTTCATTAAATGACAAAGCCAAACACTAGTTGAACTCCTTACCTACTAATTCAATCACAACTTGGGACCAATTACAGTAGAGGTTTTTGGATAAGTACTTTCCCATTGGTTAGATCAACCAACTTAGGCGAGCCATCACCAATTTTGCTCAAATTGATAGCGAGCAATTTCATGAGACATGGGAGAGACTTCATGACCTTCTCCAACAGTGTCCCCACCACCAAGTGCCTGATTGGCAACTTGTTCAAACCTTTTACTATGGCTTAACTGAGCCTCACTACCAAATGGTGGATTCTTCTTGTGGTGGGACATTCATGTCCAAAAATGACGCTGAGGCATGGAAACTATTTGAGAGCTTAAGTGATAATTCCCTTCACCATGCCTCTGCAGCTCGACAAGTCTGGTAACTAGCAGTTGGAGCCCCAAAAAGAGGGGGCATTTATGAGGTAGGGCAAAACCTAGAGTGAGCCTAACAGGTAGAGGCATTGTCCCACAAGATGGACCAATTATTAGCTTCGGGACATGGCCCTACACAGCAAGATCAACCTCAATTTCATGAGGCATGTGCTATTTGTGTGAGCCTTGCTCATAACTTAAGTGAGTGCTCTTCGGCATCACAATTTCCAGAGTTAGTCCAAGAGCATGTGAATGCATCTCAAGGATTCTCCAACCTGGGTAATGACCCATACTCTAACACATACAATCCGAGATGGAGAAATCACCCTAATTTTTCATGAAGATCCCCTTCACAAGGCACTTCTTACAATCCTCCACTACCAATGCAAAATTTTAATAATTTTGCCAACCAATCTTTTACCGACCTCCACAACCATACCAGTAACCACAACCCCCACCTGTTTCTCAGGGAAACTTTGCCTTTGAGACTCAGGTGTCGGAAGTTCTTTCAGAACTTAAGGGGTTAGCACTAGTAGTTCACTCTCATACTCACTCTATTGCCAAGCTAGAGGCCCGATTAGGTCAAATAACTAACAACATGAATAGAAGAGAGGAATGAAAATTATCGAGTCAGACTGTGGCCAACCTTAAGGATCAATATGGGGCAGAGGGGTTGGATGGGAATGGAAAGCACCATGAGCAGGTGCAAGTGGTGATTACCTTGAGAAGTAGGAAGGAGTTAGAGCCTTGGCTAGTTGTGTCTGATGCAACTAAGGCTAAGAAGGGTGACTACGGTGGTACACCCAATGAGAGCAAGGGTGAGGGAGAAATACCTAAAGGGAATGACTTCGCCCCTAGCACTTCACATGAGCTTAAGGCACCATATGTGCCTAAGGCACCCTTTCTCCAATGTCTTGATACACCGTCCCTTTTTAATAAGAAGGCAACATCCATGGAAGCGATGATGGAGGTTTTTAAACAAGTTAAAATCAACCTCCCCTGTTGGAGGCGATCAAGCAAGTACCCTCCTATGCTAAATTTTTGAAGGACCTTTGTACGAAAAACCATAAATCTAGGACACACGTGTCTCAAAAGGTCGTCTTCACGGAGCAAGTAAGCTCCATCTTGTTGAATGACACACCCCCTAAGCTTAAAGACCTGGGTGCCCCAATTATTGCATGCATTATAGGGAACCATTTCATTGATAGGGCCTTGTTAGATTTAGTGGCTAGTGTCAATTTGTTGTCGTACTTTGTGTACGAAGAATTTGGGCTTGGCGAGTTGAAGCCCACTACTGTTACTCTCCAGTTGGCTGACCGGTCCCTTAAAGTGCCACGTGGCATGATTGAGGATATGCTAGTAAAGGTTGATAGGTTTTATTTTCCTGTTGACTTTTTGGTCTTAGATATGGAACCGGTAGCCAACTCTAGGAAGCAAATCCCGAGGATCTTAGGCCGACCTTTCTTGGCTACAGCCAATGCTTACATAAATTGTCGTACCGGGGTTATGAAAGTTTCATTTAGGAATATGCAAGTGAAACTTAATGTTTTCCAAGCATCCCAACAACCCCATGAAAGAGAGGAGTGTTTATTTGCGAATGAGATTATAGATGAGGCTTTACCATCTATTCTTGTAAAGGACCCTCTAGAGGCTTGTCTAGCTCATTTTGGGTTTGAAAATTTTGATATTGACGGGTTAGTGGAGGAGATGAATGCCTTACTTAATTCTTCTTGTACACCGGATTTTCTCCGTAGAAAGCTCGGTTTGAGTCCCTTCCTTCTCTGTCCCAAGATCCCGTCATACCGTCCTTAGTCACACCACCTACACTTGAGTTGAAGCCACTCCCGACCACACTTAAGTATGTATTTTTAGGGCCTCAGGATACTTTACCTGTCATCATTGCATCTGACTTAACTGTAGAGCAGGAAAGTCAATTAATGAGTGTTCTTGTGGCACATCGGAGTGCTATAGGGTGGTCAGTGGCCGATTTGAAAGGGTTAAATCTCTCCGTGTGCATGCATTATATACACCTTGCTCTCTTTGGGTTGACCTCATTACAAGTTTTCTCCACCCACTTCTGTGCGTCAAGTCCGTTCTTTCTTAGGGCATACAGGTTTTTACCATAGGTTTATCAAAGACTTTAGTAAGATATCATGTCCTTTGTGTAGTTTACTTGCTTAGGACACACCTTTTATCTTTGATGAGGCATGTTTGAAAGCCTTTGAAACACTAAGAGTGGCCCTTGCCGTTGCCCCAATCTTGAAATCACCAGATTGGTCGCTTATCTTTGAAATCATGCGTGATGCCCCAGATTATGCTGTCGAGGCTGTGTTGGG